ATAAAATGAGTTGAGATGTATTTCCATCTTTTCAAATTTTGTTAATAAAAATTGTACAGGCTTCAGGTATACAATTCTATAATACATGTTGTATCATGTGTTCAGGCCTCCTTCCACCGCATTAACCTGCTGGGTACCAGGCCTGGAGGCACATGCCTAGTCCGTGGTAGAGAAGGACATGCTTTACCTCCCAAGCCTTGGGCTGCAGTGTTTGGGGCCAGGACATGCGTTTTCCAGCTCGTCTCCTTGGTCATCGTATGCTTCTCTAGAGGGAGGTCGTGCCATTGTAACGTGTGTGTCTTCATGGCACCGGGTGGGAGTTCTGCAAATGTTTGCTGAGCAAATGAATCTTAAGTGGAGTTCTGGGTTTCTCGTTCTAAATCCAAGAAAAGGGGCACAAGGATATAAAATAAGGAAAGACATGCATGAGCCAAATCACATTATCTTCCAGGTGGAGCTGAGGTGGGGGAATTTCTTTTACTTGTTGAAGCAATCAGATCAGGGAAAATCCAGCCAACATCCGCTTGGAGGATCTGAAAACAGTGTGGCTAGCAAAGCCACTGTGGATGTGTTGGGGTGCCGGAAGCTTCCTTCCGTGGCAGGAAGTGGCCGCGGGGATAATGTTTCAGAAGGGTGGAAATTAGCACGGAGGGCCCGGGATGGCTGCCGCAGAGGCATTAGTTTGTTTCGGAAGGCTCTGAAAAGGGCTGAGGTCAAACTGTGCATTTGCGGTGCCCTTTAAAAAATAACGAGAACATCTGGGCTTAAGTGCTCCTTGCGCCCTAGTCCGCATTAATAAGTCACCATTTCAAACGGAGAGTGGCAGGAGGGCGCTGCTGAAAGCCAGGCTCTGCCCTTGGTGTGGAGGGAGGTTAATGGGTCAAACCCTGGAATCAAACAAAGCCCTAAGCGATCCCAGCTTGGCCCTCCCAGACGCAGGCGGGGCTGCAGCGAGATGATGACTTTATAGCACGTTGTCTTCCTGCAGCGCTGGGCTGTCCATAGACGGCCGCTGCGACAGCCCCTCCGGAAAGCTGTGCAGATCAGGCTGAGGTCCAGGAGCGGGTCCGAGAGGGGTCCAAGCACATAACCATGCAGAGGGCATGTGCGGCCGTGTCAAATATCAGTGTCTTTATGTGTCGGAAGTGTGGGTCATTCCTGACTATACGCCACGGTAACTGTCCACACTCGCCGTGACCACCGACCTGACAGGCTGACTGGGGTGGGGCGCCAGGTGGATGGTGGTGGCTTTAGTCTGGCCTCCTTGGTACCCTCTGTGTGTTTGCATCCTGCATCCTGGGACACTCACGGCATGGAAAGACTTAGGTGCAGGGCACTCTAAGAGTGGGGCCTCGGGAGCGAGCCACCGCCCATTCACATCTTCCGCCCTGCTTTCTGGTTGTGAGGGCCCGAGCAAACGGCCTCTTGCACTAGGCCTCAGTTTTCCCTGCGCAGAATGAGGAGGAGGATGAGCACAGCGGTGCTCCGAAGGGTAGTTATAAGGATAAAACGAGGCACTACATGAAATACATGCAGCAGTGTCCGGCTCTCAGCAGACTCACAGTGATGCCCATTGCCAGTGTGACTCCGGAGCCGAGGCTGGAAGAGGAAAACCTGCCCCTGAGTGCTGGCTGCAAGGAGCCTCAGGCCGAGCCCTGTGCGCTGAGGAGTGCGAGGCGGCCTCACCACGGGCTCAGAGACAGTGGCAGCTCCTCTTCTGGGGAGACTCACAGGCAAGGATGTGGCTGCCGAAAGAGGGCTTTCCCCAGTGGTCATGGCTGAGGGGCATTAGTCTCCCCCCTTTCCTCTGCACTCCACCAGGTCTGGGACCCCCGAGGTGCAACATCCACTGGCACGGGGAACTCTCCCCTCCCGTTTCCGGCGGGGCTGGGCAGGGCGCAGCGCAGTGAGGAAATCCATGGAGTCACCCTCGGAGGTGGGGAGGAGGAGGAGTGCAAAGTCCACAGGAAATTGATCCGTCCTCCCCAGAGCAGGCATGGGGCCAGCCCACGCCCAGGCTCTGTTCTCACTTCATGGAGGAGCAAGGCCCTTGGTTGCCGTGCTCCATCTCAGTTACAGTCCCTCCCAGGCGCCCTGCCGACGGGTGGTCTGCAGTGAAAACTCCACACGGCGAGGCCCCTGGGCTCTCCTCCCAGCACACCCAGCGGGCCTCTCTGGCAGCAGGCAGCTGCGGACATCTGTGCAGGGAGGGCGAGGGCTCCCAGTCTGTGCGCTGGTCCCGTTAGTGTGCTTCCCTGGGTGGCTGCTGTGGACACATGTCCATAACAGGCACCGAGAGGTCACACATGGACACACATACATAACACACACACACACACACACACACACACACACACACACTGCCTTCCCCACCAGGGAGGTCACTTAGCAGCCAGCTAAGTGTGAGACTAGTGGGGAGGCGAGGGTTTGTGCTGACCTAGAAACCTTACAATTGACTCAAAGGAAGAGAATTTTCTAGTTTTCGAACACGTCTGGCTGGGCGCAGTCTGCCCATGGCCTGTCTCCTCCTGTTTGGTGGTAGCAGGACTCTGTCTGTGCCCAGTGTGTGGTGTGGGGCTGGCCATGGGGTGGGGCAGCATGGCCCGGGACCACTGGGCGTCTAAAGCAGCTTCACCCACAGGGCCTGGGTGAAGCGGGAGGGTGAGCTCGGCCAGCCCCTGTGCAGTGTGCAGGGCACGCCGTGGCCAGGCTGCTGGGCCCTGTCATCGGGGGAGACCCCTGAGGCCTGTGCCTTCGGAGCCTCTGGCAGTCACAGGTCCTGTCTGCCGAGCGGAAGGAGGTCCAGGGCCAGGCCAGTTGGTAGGTGCTGCCTGGTTCCTGCAGGTGTCTGTCTGATGGCCTTGGGTCACCTGATGCTTCCTCCAGCTGCTGGGGAACCACACTCCTCCCCACAGGGGGGCCAGGGTCTCCCCAAGTTTCTGCAAACTGACAGCCTCTCTCTCAAGCCGTATTTCCCCTCCAGCAGCGGTGCCCCTGTACGTGAGGCCTGGCTTCTCAGCAGGAATTCCACCAAAAAGGAGGCCGAAGGGAATAAAGAATTTGCAAACCTGACACTGGAACAGGCCAAGAGTTCCCGGGGACTGCAACTGGAGATACGCCGAGAGACGGAGCCTCCCTCTAGCTGCCCTGCTCCCAACAAGACGCCTGAAAAGCAGGGCCAGCAAAAGGCAGTCTGTGGCCTACTTTCAGCCTGGAGCCTTTTCAAAGCCCAGCGGGAGGCCTGCCTCAGCGTCAGCAGCGCCCTCTGTGCGGGGTGTGTGTGTGTGTCTGTGTGTGTGTGTGAGGAATGTGGCCAGGGGGGGAAGTGGTGTGCGTGACGGCTGCAGCCCCTTCCTCTGGCTGAGGTAAGTCGGATTTAAATGGTCTCAAGCTAACCCATTAGGGTAGATACAGATCAACACGGATTCCTGACAGGAGGCGGGTGGGGCTCTGGGCAGGGTGTGGCGGGGACATCTGCGAGCAGCGGAAAGGGGTGTGCTTCCGCTTTATGGAACAGGGCTTAGAGGAGGCAGGCGGAGTCTAGATCAACAGATGTAGACCAGACCTTGAACCCAGACATGGAAACCTGTTTAGGGTTCCCTGAGCCTCCCCGAGGGAGGGGACAGGTGGCCCCGACAGCTTCCGGAGCTAGCTCCCCACCGGCTCCTCTGCTCGGGCCTCAGCAGAGCAGGTCCCGACCTTCCTGGTGCCTGCGGGCGGGCTTCCTACCCTGGAAGGCAGAGTGAGCTTTGGCAAGAGCCCAGCCTTTTCAGAAGCTGAGGGACCAGGGCTCCAGGCCGCCATGTGACCTTGGTAAGGTCCCTGCCCCTATTTGAGCTCAGATGCTACATCTATGTCAGGATGTGTGGGATTAGGTCATCTCAGACGGCGGGTTCTGTGCTAACTCAGGGCCTCCATGCTGTAGACTCCACTGGCCAGTCTACTAGTGAGCCTGGCCGGCGCCTGGGAGTGACATGGGTCCCCTGAGGGCGGAAGTATGCCATGGCTTCTCCCAAAAGGCTTTATCCCCAGTCCAGCTATCTGATCAGCTCACGCATCTTTGATCCTTCAAAAATCTGGCCAGCAGGGCCGGTTAGCTCCATCGCAGAGACCAGAAAGCTTGGTCCCAGAGGGCCCGTGCTCTCCAAGGTCACAGGGCGCAGGTGGGCCAAGGCTGGTGGCAGCACTGCTGGAGTCTGAGCTGCGGGCATTTCCCATTCACCGAGATCCATGCCCGTGATTCGGTCCAGTGATGGAGAAGGACTCCATGAGCTGAGGGCGTCTCCTCCTTGTCCCCAGGGACAGGGAGGCCCAGTGCTCAGAGCTCAGAACACTGCAGCTCACTTATCCTGGCCCTGTGTGTGTGTGTGTGTGTTTGGGGGGGGGGGAGAAGGCTGGGCCAGGGTAGGGTTTGCCCTAGGGAAGTGAGAAGGCAGCACTCAGGGCCGTGGTCCCACTGGTTCTGCTCTGTCTGTCCTCCCAGCAAGTCGAGCAGCCACGGGATTAGGCAGGTGAGGGAGAGGAGCCAGCCCAGGAACCACTTCCCTGGAACTCTGCAGAGCATCAAGGAAGCCCGAGGCCTCCATGACCAGCCCTCCAGCTCAGCTGGGAATTCTCTCTCTATGACGATGTGTGTGTGTGTGTGTGTGTGTGGCTGTGGTATGAATAAAGCCAGATGTGCTCTGCTAACTCTACAGCGAGGCATCAGCTTTTCCACCTTCACCTTCAGCCACCACCCCCTCGCAGCAGCCTCGCAGGAGGTGGGGCTGACCCTCCACTCATTTCCAAGATGAGGAGGCTGAGGGCTCCGGAGGCCCTTGGTTCCCAGTCCGTAGCTGACCCCGCTGCACCCGCTGTGCCCTGGGGGTTTTGGGGAGGAAAGTGAAGGGCAGATGTGGTCAGAGGCGTCTGCCCATCCCAGCCAGCTGGCTTCCACGGCTGGGCCAGCCCATCTGCTCTGCCAGTGTGCAGAGGACTCCAGCAGGGAGGTGGGGTCCTACCTGCAGCCGTGGTGATGCCCAGGAGCCGGCAGGTGTATTCCAGCCCCGTCCAGAACGCCTGCAGCTTCATGGCGCTGGGGTGAGGGCAGCCGCCCGCAGGCCGGGCAGCAGAGGCTCAGGCCCGAGATGCTCTCAGACGTCCCGTGTCCAGGGAGGCTGTGGCTGCCAGCTCGGGGCCCTCGTGCCCCGGGGCCCTGCTGTCCCAAACCAGTTCCAGCCACTGCAGCCTGGTCGAGGTGTGAATAGGACTCACCTTCCTGCCGGCTGCCTGTGCCTTTGCCAGGCACTCAGCTTAATCATTACCCTGGAGAAAGGTCCCCTCTGCTTTCAGCAGCTGCCATGGCCCCAGTGGCAGCCTGAGATCAGGTCGATTAGGGCTGGGCTAGAGGCAGGCAGCCTGGAGCTGGCAATCAGCTGCTTCTGACTGGGAGGAGGGAGCCGGCCGAGGAGCCAGCCCAGGCTCTTTCGTCCTGGGCAGCTCAGAGCCAGTCCCACCTGGACCTCAGGCCGCGGGGCTGGAGAGGCGGTGTCGGAGGTGGCCAGTGTGCAGGGCGAGAGATGTGTCTCTGGATCAACAGCGCGAACACCCTTTGAGAGAGTTCTAAGCTCCCATTTTTTGGGGTGTAGGTGGCTTAGAAAGCTCTGGGTCTGTGGCAGGTTTGGATTCCGGCCAGGAACACTAAGCTCAGGCCCGCGTCACATGGGACCGTCCATTATTCCTGACACGTCTCTGGACGTGTGATGTGGGAAATCACCACGATTCTTTGGGAGGGGAGTTGCTATGACAATAATTAACTGGTGACCTTGGAGAAACACAAAAGTATTTGTGAGCCTCAGAAACTTGCAGAAAATAAGCGAGAGGGTTTGACTGGATTGGTGGTTCTTAAAGTAAGCCCCGAGGGCTGCGCCAAGAAGCCTGGCTTCTGAACGTTGGCAATTGTGGGCTCTCACTAATTCTTAATTTACTAAATTATGTAACAGATTGAACCATGCCAAGTGTTAGCTTTCCTCCCATGCTTTTCCTGAAATCACTACCCCCTTAAAATAAAGCTTGTATTGATTGTTTTAGAAAGGAAGGGAGAAGGAGAACACACACACACACACACACACACACACACACATTGATCAGATGCCTCCCACAAGCATCCCAACTGGGGATCGAACCCATATCCTAGGTATATGCCAGGACCGGGAATCAAACCCACCACCCTTTGGTACATGGGATGATGCTCCCACCAACCGGCCAGCGCTCATGTGACCTTCAAGAGCAAGGCTTAAAATGTATGATTTGACATAATCTTATTTCTTGGGTTAGCTGAATGTGTTTTACAGCAGACTTCCCGTTTCCCACAGATCTCGGCACCTGACTCCCCTCCCCAAACATTGCTTCCTGGGTCTCTGTGGCGCCCGGCACCTCGCAGACGCAGAGGGAGCTGCTGGGGCGGGGGCAGCCGAGGCTCCGGGGCCCGGAGGCCCTTTCCCGCTGGCTGCCCGCAGCATCCCCCTTCATCCCCGGGTGGACACAATGCTGTTGTTCTGACACTTTGGCCCTGGAGACAGGGAGCCCCTCAGGACTTTGGGGGGCGGGTCTGGCCTCAGCCTCACCTCCCAGTGGCTTCGGTTCAGGAATGAGACAATGGCCTGCTTCTGTCAAATGGTCTGGGAGGAGCATGTGCTGGCCCCTGGAAAAGTGATCCCTGATTTTTACAGGGCGCAGGACAGGCTTTGCTCCTCCCTGTGGGTCCGCCTGTGCTGGAGGGCAGCCAGCTCCTGATGGGAGGGCGAGGGGCTCAGGCAGAGGCCTGGGCAGCGCCTGGAGCCTGCCCGGGAGATGGGGGGACCCTGGCATGTGGGCTCGGAGCTGCTGGACTTGCTGTGCCGTGTTGGTCAGAGGCCTTCCTCAGGCTTCATCGCGGCTGGAAGCATCTCTCCTGCACAGCCGTTTCCTGCGCACCGGGCCCAGGTGGAGGACTGGAGGCTGGGGGTTGGGGTGCTCTTCCATCCCTGCGGGTGGCCCAGCCTGGGCAGGGCTGCCCCTAAGTGGAAGGAAGAGGGGGTGTGGGGCTGGTGATGGAAGGAGAGGAGGGCGTATTGCAAAGGCAAATGTGGTGAACTCCAGAGAGGCCCATCTTGAAGAAACTGCAGACTCTGACGGAGGTCATGACCCCTCCTCCCCATCAGACTACTGTGGAGCTCTGCGGGGCGAGGAGGCGCCTGGCTGGGCACAGGAGTTGCTTTGACCTCTCAGAATCCCGAGGGAAGGTTGCCAAGAGCCAAGGGCCAGAAGCCCTGCAATAGAGGCTGACGGAGGAGGTGGTGAAGCGCCCGGTACCCACGTCTGACCTGCACCTGCTGCTGGGCCGGGGAAGAAGAGGAACATTTCCTAGAGGAACCTGAGGACGCCCAGGGAGCTGGTGAGGAGCTGAGAGGGGAGGGCAGAGGAAGAAGAGGGCGCTGAGGGCGGCTGTGTGAAACCTTCGCAGAGTGGGAGCGCGCAGAGGGCACCAAGGGAGCTGGGAGCACAGCAGCCCGGAAGCTCTGCACACGGGCCACGTGCACGCTACACGGAGCAAGTGCCCTTTCAATGCTCATGTGTCCTGATGAGTTCAAACCTGCACTGGCGGGTGGAAGTGATGGGGAACTTAGCTCTGAGCAGGGGAAGGTGACCTAACACCCATTCCCCACCGGAAGGACGGGCTGTGATGGGTGGCCATGATTCGAGGGAGCCCTATGAACATGGGGGTGAGGGGCTGTGGGCAGGCTCCAGCACTGATTGGGTGGTTCAGACCTGGTTCTGGATTCCAGATGGGTGTGATTCCTGAAAGAATCCAGGTAAATGCTCTGAGAAGGGCAGGGACACCCCTGGGAGAGGTAGGCTGGGGCTGGGGCTTTCTCACTGGCCTGGCTCCTCTTCTGGTCCCCGAGGTGCCGGCCAGGGCAGAGAAGTGGGGAGAGGAGGGAGGGGCAGGCTCACTAGGCAGGTCACACGTGTTGCCTGAGGCATTCCTATTCTCCCTCCAGCCTCGTTTCCTCTTGTAAGATGGGTCTAAGGGAGTCTTCCTGGAAGTGGGAACTGATGTTACACGTGAACAAAGAAAAGTGACTTCTCTGTGGCCAGCCTAGGTAGCTGTAGTTGCCCCAGGATCCACTCACGGCCACCAGCATGCGGACTGGGCACAGCCGGCCCTGCCTCAGGGAGAACGGGGCGGAGGGAAAGTGCTCTTCAGAAGGACGGCTCCCCCAGAGCTTTCTTCTCTGTGTGGTTCCATTTCTCAGCGCACCAGCCAGCCTGTCTGTGTGCTGCGGCCAAAGAAGGCAGGGCCATTCCATACACCTGCAGGAGCCCAGGCCGCTTGGTAATAAATGTCCTGTTTCCAGGGCTGTGACAACCAGTGCTGATGTCACTGACAGTCACAATAACCAGTGTTTGCTCAGCATTGATTGCAGTGCAGGTGCTGTGTGAAGTGCGACATCTACACCCTATTGCTCACAGCACCCATATGCTCAGAGGAGAGGAGGGCGCAGTCAGGGCAGGTTAGGTGCATTCGCTCAGGCTCACACAAAGCAGGGATGAGGGGGCCAGCAGCCTTAGCCCTACTCCTCTGCTGCGCCCTCTGGTGTTCAGGTGCGTCCATCATAGAGCTGCCCCGTGACGGAGACAGCTCTGTGGCTCTGGCGCACAGCATGGGGGAGGGAGGGAGACAGGGGTGCTCAGGTAGGACTGGGCATTGCTTTCCTCACAGCTCCGGGATCAGAGAGGCAGTGGTGATGTGAGGGAGCTCTCCCCTGTCTGCTCCGGGAGGTGACCTGTGGAATGCAGGCCTGAGCCAGGCGGCCTCTCTCCCCTGGCCTTGCCTGGAGCTTCGGTGTGAAGCTGCGAATAGGTGGGTGTGTCACAGGTACTGGCTGCCCCAGGCCTGGCCACACCTGGTGGGCCAGTAGCAGTAGCACACACATTCCAGAAACCAGGGGGCTCCGGGAGCTTGGGAAGTCAGGGAAGGCTGAAGTGTGGGTGTGGGCCAGTCTTCATCTGCTGGCCGTGAGGAAACTTGCACAAGCTCATGGGCGTCACTCAAAGCAAATCCCTGGAGCCGGTCTAAGTCTTTGGCCTCTTCAGATCTCCCGCCCCTCATCCCTCATCTCAGTGTCTGCGGAATAAAATGGAAACCTCAGACCTGCGCCATGCAAACCCCATGTGTTCCTCTTAGCTGCACCCTGCCCTTTCCTCCCAGCGGGGGCACAGGGGTTACCCTCACACACGCTTTCTTGCCTGTCCCCTGGGACCTGGGACCGCTGTCTTCCCCGGTCCCCTCCCCCTCTCCCCTGTGCTCACCTGCAGCACAGCAAAGCTTTCCTGCAGGACCTGCTTTCCCTGCAAACCACACGTGGTCGCTCCTCCCTTCCCACCTCAGGCTTCTGAAAATGGTCTAGCTGTCCACTCCCTTTCATTATTTCTTTATTTTCTGTTCACTTGTCTATTTACTGACACGTGGTTTCTACCTGTGCCCATGTCAGGGTGGTCATGCCGGCCTGGCCGCTGACCCCCAGACCCGGCAGCCTAATCTCTGTGCTCACTCCGTCACTCCGCTCCATCTCTTGGACTTGGTAGCACTTGAGACCATTAACTGCTCCCTCCTCCTGACACTCTCCCTGTGACATTGTCCTCTTGTTAGTGGTCCTGCAGGCTGCGGGGCGCGCACTCTCTCTTCTAGGTGTCCTTTACCGAGTCCCCTCTCTGTGCTGCTTCCCTGTGATGCCCTGTGGCTGGCAGCCTCCAGGTGTTCCCGTGATGCCCCTCCTGGCATGCACACACTGCGCAGCGTGGTCTGTGTGGCTGCACTCAGCAGAAGTGGGAGTGGCCACCCCCAGAGTAGCCCATCAGACACTGCCTTGGTCACTTTCTCTTGGGCACAGACACAGAACACTGGCCTTTCTTTCTGGGCTCGGGCTCCCTGTGTCCTCCACAACGAGGCTGCCTGATGGCCGAGAGGTGACCTTCATGCTTCAAGCAGGAGAGTGGCCTCGGAACAGCTGTGCGCTGGGCAATGGGAGCCCCTATTGGTGGCTGGGAGGCTCCCCCTGAAAGTCACCGTTTTCCTGGCTGGGACACTTTCTGACCTCCAGGAGGCTTACCCTGCCTGCCCCTGTGCCAGCACACTCCAGCCCCAGCCAGCTGTGCCCTCTTCTCTACCTCACCCCTGGCGGCCCCAGGCTGTGCTGCTCTTTAGTCCTGGGCCAGGGGGAAGGTCGTGCGGTCCCTCAGGGAGGCCGAGGCCCATGTGAGAAGGATGTGAAAGCTGAGTCCAGGCTCGGCCACAGCTGCCCTTGCAGGAGATGTGGCCACCTTTATTGCTCCCCCCTCACCCTCCCAGAGCCCCAGGGCTTACCTGCACGCCTCACCCGTCTTCAGCAGACTCCCCTGTCAGTGTCAGGCAAAAATTAATAAGTTGCCCCTGCTGAGGGGCAAGCTGCTCCTAACAGACTGTCTCCACCTGTTTAC